TGCACATACATGCTAAAGTTGTGTTTCATGCAGAAGAACACACAGATCTCTATGCTGCACTTTTTTGGATTCTCTCAATATTTTAGTAGTAGTCTGCCTTTTGATTCTTCTTCCCAAAGTGCATGACATCATACTTTCCAACATTAAACTTCACCTACCAAGGTTTTGCCCACTCACTGGACCTATCAATATCCTTTGCAGATTCCACGTGCCCTCATCTCAACCTGCCCTCACACCTATTGCTCTGTTTATCGGCAAATCTGAATACATCAGACTTTGCCCCTTCCTCCAAGTCATTAATATCGAAGGCAAATAACCACGGCACTTGGCACTCACTAATTACTTTTCAAACTGAAAAAGACCCATTAATCCTGACTCTTTGTCTTCCTTACATTAACCAATCCTCAATCCATGCAAATACATTACCCCAATCCTATAAGCTCCTAACTTGTGCAATAACCATTTGTGTGGCACCCCATCAAATGCCTTCTAGAATTCCAAATAGACATCTATCGGTTGCCCTTTATCATCTCTGCTTGTTATATTCTCAAAGAACTCTAATAAATTTGACAAACACGATTTCTCTTTCACAAAACTGTGTGACTGTTCGATTGTGTTAAATGTCTTGCTCTTTCTTCCTTAATAGTGGATTCCAGAATTTTCACAAGAGCAAATGTTAGACCAACTTGCCTGTAATTTTGTTTTCTGCTTTCTTTCCCTCCCTTTTTGAATATCCTCCAAGGGTCACATTCATTTCAGCTACTCTTTCTTTTTATATACCAATAGAGCTCTTGCTGTTTTGTTTTTATTATTTCTTTCCAATTTATTTTTATAATCAATTTTCTGCCTTTTTATTAGCTTTTTAGTCATCTAAAAGCTAGATCCTAAAAGCTCTAAAATCCTCTGGCCTTTCACTCACTTTTTGCCAATTTATATATCTTAAGATTTTCATTGAACACTCTCCTTGGCCACCTTTGGTAACTATAGATGGTTCATCTTCATCATCATGTCCCTCTTTTTGATCAGAAAAAATTTTTGCCAAGACTTTGTGAAGTATCTGCTTAAAAGTCTGCCACTGCTCATCTACTAACCATCCCTTAAATCTACTTAAGCAGCCTATTCAAGACAGTTTCTTTTCATAATTCTGCAATTGCCCAAATTAAAGTTGAGTTTATTGGTTCAAGATCTAAGATGATTGCCAAAATAAATTTGAAATTCTATTATGTTGTAGTCACTACCTCCTAGAACATCCTTAACCAAAATTTCTCTTTAATCCTATCACATTACTCAATCTAAAATAGCCTGTTCCCAGGTAAATTCTACAACGTACTATAAGAAACAATCCCTGATGTATTCTATTAATTTGTCTTCCTTGTCCATCTGACTTGTTTAGTCAATATTCAGAATAAAATCACCCATGACAATTATTGTTCCCTGCTTACATGCCCCATTGTCCTACATTGAGACTCTAAGGGCAGGTAGATAATCCCACCTGTGACTTTTTTTTCCTTGCTATTCCTATTTCCACCCAAATGGATTCCACATTACAATCTGTTGCATATCACTACTTGTTACCACACTGATACCTTCCCTTCTTAACTGTCTACCCCACTTCCTTTCCCTTTTTAACCAGTCTTCCAGAACATCAGTTAGCCTTGACTATTGACTCCGCACTGCTGGTCACCCTGAAACCACATCTTTGTAATAACTATAAAGTCATATTTATTTATACCTTGTTACAATGCATTCAGAAAAAGAGCCATAAGCTTTGATTTTTTAACCATTGTTACTTAGACTAATTTGCATTGCGCTTCTCTGCTTATATTTTCTGTCCTTTCCTGTCACACTATCATTCATCTCTTCACTACCTTGCTCCTCTGTTCTTGTGTGTTCTTGAATGTTTAAACTTCCTTTCAATTGAATCCTGCTCCCCTCCACAACTAATTAATTTAAATCCCTATCTACAACCTTAGTTATATGATTTGCAGGACACTGGTCCCAGCATGGCTGATATGAAAACATCCCACTAGAATAGTTCTCTCTTACTGATGCCAGTATTCCATGAATCGGAACCTATTTCTTCCACACCAATCTTTCAGCCATCCATTTACCTCTCCAAACTTATTTATCCTGAGTCAGTTTTCACATAGCTCAGATAATCCTGTGATTACCACCTTTGTGGTTCTGTTTTTTTTAATTCATAGCCCTGTGCTCCTTGTAATCCCTCAGTAGAACCTCGTTCCTAGTCCTACCTATGTCATTGATACCTATGTGAACCAGGACAATTGGATTCTTCCCCTTCCACTCCAATTTCTTTCCAGCTCACAAACAATGACGAGTCTTGGAAACAGCTAGACAACATAGCCTTTGGGACTCTTTGTCTTTGCTGTACAGAATTGTAATATTCCCCCATCTATGCTGTCTTCCACTGATACAATGTTTCTTTTGCTTACCCCTACTTGATTGACACTCTGAACCACAGTGCTGTGGTCAGTTCACGTATCCTCCCTGCAGTGTGTGCCCTCATCCACACCAGGAGCAAGAACCCAATAACAATTGGACAATGGCACTCATTGAGTCAACTCCAAGGCTAAATTCTGGATCTCAATAACTGCCTCACTTACAGTTGTATCCTCCTGCCCTAACCACAGAGCACATTTGATATAATTAATCGAAGCGGAATAACTGACTCCTGAAACAGTGTCCAGCTGACTTGCTCCCTCCCTGATGTGTCACAGTGTCTACAGTTCAGACTCCAGCTCATCAATTCTGAGCCTAAAGTCCTCAGGCAGCCAACCTTTGCAAATATGATCACTGTGCATCACACGTGTCCACTAACTCAAACATTCTACAGCCGTAATACATCGCCCAGAGTTCTCTATTCCATTTTAATTAAATAATTTGGATGCTGAATATTTTAAGAGTGAATTTCCCAACTGTGCTTTTCAAGCAAGCTGCTCAATAGCAGAAAATATTTTTACGCCAAAAATTTACACCGTATTGTCATTTCAACAAGCCTTTGACATGATTTTCTAAGTTTAAAATATAAATGATATCCCAGCAAATGCAATTTTTCAAACTTTCCATTGAAATAGCCTGCAGACCTTCAAAGAACATGAATGCTTACACCATGAGAAACCTTGCTTTGAATCAAAATCTTTTGGCAAAGTCATTTTTTCATCCTTGAAAAAAGACTGCCTTTAAATAGGTATTTTCAAATTTGAATAATAAGGATCTAAATCATAGAATGCAATATGGCATTCAATCATAATGATGTACAAATGTTTAGTTCTGCTTTCCTTTCTCAACAGCCTTAAAAGCATTATGCAAAACTTACATTGCCATAATACAAACAAGTGCCCAGTTCCCAAATAGAGGAGAACGGATTTGAAATTTAGGATTAATCCAATATGGCATCTGGATCCCTGATAATTGCCATCCCTTCCACACTTCACACTTCAAGGATCTTAGGAGTAAAAGTCCATAAAGACACTAGGTCCTGTTCAGTACTTCAGCATTTGGTATTTTTTAATTCACATTTCCAGAAACGCCATTATTTTGTTTTTGTAGATTACAAGTTTAACATAATCTCCTGGTTTTTGAAGTTTTATTTAAAAAGCCCAAGATCCCATATGTTTTATTGACCAGCTTTGTACTTTCAAAAATTGGTGCATGTGTTACCAAGCATTTCTCTGTTCAGAGGGAGGGTCACCGGACCAGAAACGTTAACTCTGTTTCTTCCTTCACAGATGCTGCCAGGTCTGCTGGGCATTTCCAACAGCTTTGTGTTTGTTCCTGATTTACAGCATTCGCAGTTCTTTCCATTTTTATTTCTCGGTTCTTGCAGCTTTCTATTAAAATTGGATCATTTGCTACCTTTCATCTCTCCTCATTTTTCCTACTATGTCAATCACAGTCAAATGATTTCACCAACGGAAAACTTTATAAATTATTTTACGCATAAAGTCTTTCTGATCATATGTTGATGCTAATTTCTACATAATTCTATAGCTAATTTATATAGCACTTGAACTTACTCTTCATTTGTCACCTAACTGATAACACGTCACTGAAAACCCCTTCCCCTATAACTCAACAGAGAGGTGTTAAACATAATAAGTGTAGAAAGGGCATACTGTATTGAAAGACACTGCAATCAAATAGTTACTCCTGAAAATAGGAGAGACTAAACTGTTTGAACTTTCTTAAATAGGCAGAATTAATCCGCCATAATCAACAGTGTTTCTACGTAATTATTCTACACTCGGGATAATCACTAACATGTCTAAATTCTGAAGACTGGTGCTAAAATATTGATGCAAGATTTCTTCTGTGGCAATTAGTGAACATGCTAGTTTACACATCTTTCAGCAACAAATAATTCCACAAGCCAAACAGGGACTCCCATTGGGACAAGGGAAAATCAGATATAACATCACAAAATGTGAAAGTGATTTTATCTTATTTGTTAGACGGCATTAAAACAAAATAATTTTCTGTGGAGTCAACCTGCTTGCCTTTAATCTTGTCACGAGTTTTTGACAGATTCATTAAACCTTTTTGTACATTTCATTAAGTACTGACGTATCAAAAAGACTAACATTGATTCATCCTTCAACCTACACATCAAATAAAATTAAGGATGCAAATTAACTTGCATCTGATATATCAGGCAGCATTTAAGATTCCTATAACTTTTCCACAATGAGAGGTAAGTACATTACTGGCCTAAGCATAAATAAACTATTGAACACCCACACACTTGGGTTGCAAATTGATATTTTAAAATGATTTTAATTTTGATTTTTACTTCTCAGATTTGGATTTTATACAGCCACATAAATGGTATTTATTTGACCATCACCTGGTGACTGCCAATCTATTTAACTGAAGGAACAAATACTTTTTAGTAGAAATCAAGAAAGTCTCTAAATTTTTCCTTTTTTAGACGATTTGGAACAGGGAGGGAGTTTATATATTTCATAACATTGCTTATTTACCTTCCTTCTTCGCAAATCTTTCCTGATCATATCTGTTGTATGCTGCTGGAATAGGCTGTTTATTTCGCAATGCTGGATCCTGCAACACACAAAATTACACTTATTATCAAGCAACCATTACAAAATTATGCCTTTGAAATGAAATACAAAATTTGTAGGGGAAAAAATTTGGAAGAGGAATACATTTAACAACAAAGAGCTGAGCAAAGACTCACTCAATAAATGTACGACCATGGGAATTGTATTACTTGGGTATTAAGTCCAAATTGCAGTTCTTTTCTTAAACTTAATAGCTATCTTCCATGACGAACAATAGATCAGAGAGCTACAGTACAGTTAAGATTTTTTTGCATGCACGAATCATTATCTGTATCGTTCGCAAGTTTTCTACATGAAATTAATAATTTAATTAATTCAGTTCCCATGCTTATTCACCAAAACTATTTATCTTTTACTTTCTATCAACCGCTGTTTTAACATTTCAAATTCCTGAGCTAACTACTTGGAAGACCTGTCCAATTTGGATTTGGGACTAAATAATTTGATTTGGCCCCTCTTTCAAATATCATTATAATGATCTGTCATATTTTTAAAACAGCAAAAGATAATTTGTGTTTGTTCTTACCGGTTGTATTACATTTTGTGGGGGTCTCTGTTCTGGTGCTCGTCCTTCTTCCCGAGCTTTTACTGATTGTAAAATTGCAAATATGTTCTTGGAAAAATTCTGAGGGATGGAAGCAATACAATCAGCAGTGCAACACTCAAGTACACATGGAATACAATGGTACAGCATGCAATTTCGTACAAAACTGGTATCTGCAACCTTGATAAAAAATGTTATGATTATGCACAATTGAGAATTAAACTGAACTTCATTACCTTTCAGAATGTTGTATACTACCAGCTTAAATGCAAAAGCATGCTAGAATTTAGGCAACACTTCTTTGAACAGATCTTTAACTTAAAGCAATTCATTAGAAACACAAAGCTGGCATATACAGCTGCTGGATAAAGAAATACATTAATAAGTGCATAAAATTGCTCAGCAATTAAGGACATTCATAATCATTGTAGGAGCGTCTGTATGATGAGGTAGTGCTAATCATAGTGAGCGCAAGGAGATTAGATGCATCTACTTCTGAGAGGGTAACCTCAGAAGAAAACCAGACTCAAATGAAATGAGTTCAATACAACAGTCCGAAAACAATTAAATAGTTGAAGACCAAGGTTAAGTCCGGGGAAAAAAAGAACAGCAATCTACACGCAAGTAGTTCAGAGATTTTCAAGGTCACAAAAAAAAAAACCACCTGTTCACACCTTTAAACACAACAGTCAATTACCTAGCTTTAGTCAATTTTACTCACCTTAAGCACAAGAATTATGTTGCTTTTAGAAACTAGACAGACATAGAAACAAACTGACATTATATATTTACAAGAATATCTCAGGGACATGAGAAAATGTCTAATGATCAATATCTACTGTACAACTAGCTATTTACAATCAAATTAAGACACCAATTATAATTTATATTGCTTTTATGTATGATAAGCAGTGGAATTTGTTTAATATTTTGTTTCAGAGCAGTGAAATTGCTGATGTTAATTTTATATTGGATCTCAATGGCTCACAACCATTTACTTTTTTTTATCTTAACAATATGTGGTAGAACTAAAATCAGTTTGACTAGGAAAGTGCATAATTGAAGTCTTCTCACACAGCCCACAATTATCCTTGCTCAACTATCAAACACTAATTTAAGGCAAATTTATCACCTTTAAAAGAAATTGAAAATACTATGATTCATGATTCCAGTTGGTAGACTCAATTTATAATTGCATCTCAACCTAAGTTATCAATGACGCCACAAAGATGATCATCATCTGCTCATATTAAAAAGTGATCCAAGTAAGATAATGGCAATAGAAATCACAATATCAATGAAAAATATTAGCTATCCAATAATCAAACTCAGCTTCAGCACAAGGTTCAGAAAAAGTGGAGGCTAAGAGCCAATAATGCATTTTTAAGCAGCTAACAAAGAAATGAGAGAACTTAAATTAATTGGAATGTTAAAAAGTCCTTAAACAGGGGACAATTGGAAGACTTTTTTTGAATTCTGAGCATGAGGATGAATACATTCTGGATCAGCAGCAGTAAAAATACAAATATGATCCTAAATGAATTAACAAAACAAAAGAACAATCACTACAAGTCCTGCAGGGAAAAATATGAGACTCATGAGCATAAGTACATGAACATACGTGAGCACATTAAAAGGATGACTTTGCCTGGGTTGCAGAGCTTTAGTTATAAAGAGAGATTGGATAGATTGGAGCAGAGGATGCTGGGAGGACAATATGACCACAGGAGCACAGAGCGAAAGATCAATATTTAAAAAATAAATCCAGTTAAATCAAAATTTATCAGTATTTTAACAGTGCAAGAATGGAAAAGACTAAAAAAATCCCAACAGAGCTGGAACTTACGATAAATTAATATACTTGATGATCACTGGTACAATGTCAGCATTTCTCATTTTTGTGTCCTGCCTAATATAAAAGATTACTTTTGTGACTAAGTTTAAGATTCAAGTTACCCCTCATGTTTCTAAACTCCAAATGCTTGGAAACAAATCCAACCTGTCCAACCTATCCGGTCCTAATAAGTTGTGAAGAGGACATAAGGCGGCTCCAAAAAGATATAAATAGGTTAAGTGGGTGGGCAAAGATGTGGCAAATGGATAATAACATGGCAAAATGTGAAATTGTCAAATTTGACAGGAGTAGAAAAGAAAAAATATCTAAATGGTGAGAGATTGCAGAGTTCGAAGATGCAGAGGATCTTTAATCATATAAAATTACAGAAACCCTACAGGGTGGCAGCAGGCCATTTGGCCCATCCAGTCCACAACCGTGCAAACAGCATCTTACCCAGACCTAATGCCCTACCCTATCCCTGTAACCCTATGGGCAATTTAGCATGGCCAATCCACCTAAGCTGCACATCTTTGGACTGTGGGAGGAAACAAGTGCATGTGCAAACTCCACACTGACAGTTGACTGAGAGCAGAATCGAACCCGGGTCCCTGGTGCCTTGAGGCAACAGTGCTAACTAATGAGCCATTGTGCCGACCCATGTGGGTGTCCTCCCACATAAATCTCAAAACGGCTAATACGCAGGTAAGCAAGTAATTAGAAAAGCTAATAAAATGTTATCATTTATTGTAGGTGAGACTGAATACTGAAGTAAGAGTTCTAACCATAAAAATGACCCCCAGCTTCCAGATGCCCGCCACTTCAACAAACCATCATGTTGCCATGCCAACATTTCTGTCTCAGACCTCCGGCGGAGCTCAACACAAGCTGGATGAACAATACCACAGCTTCCAGCTAAGTTACTGCTGTCAGCACTCGGCATTAAGTTTAACAATTTAGGTCTTGTTCTGTACGGGTTGCTCCCACAACAGCCAACCCATTTTCAACTATCCATGCTTCCTGTTAGCGCCCATTCAGCAGTTACTTCTCTCCTGCTTACTATCACCAACCCCGCTCATCATCAGCATAAATGCCACCGTTTCCCAGTTGCTTTCAGTTCTGATGAAGAGTTACTTGACTCCAAACATTAACTCTGCTCTTCTCTCCGCAGATGCTGCCAGATCTACCCAGTTACTCTGGCTTTATTTATTTTTCTTTCTGATCATCAGTATCTGCAGTTCTTCCTATTATTTCATTAAAGTAAGGAGGTTATGCATCAGTCATACAAAATACTGGTGTGACGGCATATGGATTAGTGTGTACTGTATTGTTCACCTCATTTAAAGACGTAGATGCACTGCAAGAAGTTCGGACAAGGTTTTCCAGACTAATACTTGGATTGTCTTATGGAGAAAGATTGGACTGGCTAGGTTGTATTTGCTGGAGTTTAGATGGGTGAGGGGTGATTAAAACATAAAAGATCCTGAGGGCTCTTGACAGGGTGAATGTGGACGTTTCCTCCAATGAGAAAATCTAGAACTTGGACCATTGTTTAAATAAAGGGGGACACCCCTTAAACAATTGATGAGGCAAAATTCTCCTGAGGGCTGCGAGTCTTTGGAACGCTCTTCCTGAAAAGTGCTCTTTTCTTAAGTGCTTTTCCAGCTTCACATTAAAAGCATTTATTCTAATTACAACTATCATAGAATCATAGAATCCCTACAGTGCAGAAAGAGGCCATTTGGCCCATAGAGTCTGCACCAACCCTCCCAAGAGCATCCCACCCAGAACTACCCCGTCTACCATATCTTATCCATATAGCCTACACATCCCCAGACGTTAATTTAGCAATTTGGGCAATTTAGCATGGCCAATCGACCTAATCTGCACTTCTTTGGACTGTGGGAGGTAACCGGAGCACCCAGTGGAAACCCACACAGACAAGGTGAGAACATGCTAACTCCACACAGATCGTCACCCAAGACTGGGATCGAACCAGTTGACGGGCACTATGAGACAACAGTTGTAACTACTGAGCCACTATACCTGTTCTGAATTTTTTATGCCATTTATTACAGACTCTCATATTCATCACTCTACTTTTCAATATCCCACTGGTGCAATTTTATAGCTACCATTATAGAGACGAGCTTTCAAATCGTGAATTATTAATAGAATTTAAATGCTACCAGCTTCCACGATAGAACTTGGACCGATGTCCCAAAAGATTACCCTGGGCATCTGGATTACAAGTTCTGTGCCTTTACCACTGTATTACCATCTGCCTCCTGTACGTGTTCAAACTCCCTTATTATCATAAAAAATTCTCATCAGGTCTCCCATAAACCTTGTTTCTTTTTCAAACTAAAATAAATGCTCCAGCCTGTTCATCCTTTCCTGTTAGATTCAAGCATTGGGAGGTTTTAACATCCTTTTAAACCTTTTCACATTATATCCAGTGTGTCTACAAATAATTTGGACACAAGAAACTCTCACTGAACTTCAAAAGCAAATGGGACAAGGGTCAATTCAAGTTTAACCTAACTTTTCTGATTTCTATTCTGCTCTAAATTTCCATGCTTGGTTTGTATTTGAGTTGTAAAAGGGCCACTTCAGGTTGCACCCAGAATGTCAGCTCGACTTTTCCTTTTCTATTTCAGATCTCCAGCATTCACAATTCTGTGCTTGATTTAACATCCGCAATTTCTGTATGTTTTCCAATGCTGTAGTTACTCAGTTGCAGTAGGTCAAGAGAAAGTCAACTGACCTAAATGTTTCATAATTATGAACCAAACCTGAATCTGACTCAATGCTGCCAATTCTCTGGTATTTCCGACATTCCCAAAGCAGCTGGAACCCCAGACACTGGTCTAAATATTCTGAGGAGGGGCAATCGCCGTCAGGTTGCTGCTCTACTCCTACTTCTTTCGATTGAGTGCTCTACGTTTCAAGTCAGAAATTCTGATCATGACTCCTGCAGAACTGTAGAGCATACCTTAAGTCTAACGAGTCCATCACAGTGCAAGATAATCAGGGGAAGGCAAACCATGCCCCTTTTTCATGACAGAAGTTGGTGTATTCTGTGATTTAGATGTCAAGCAACATAGCCAGAGACTTTGACAGTTCCTGTGAAGAGGTAAGTATGTAAGGTACGAGAAATGTTGAGGTGCCAGGTACATACATGTAGGCCAGCCCAGATGAGGACAGCAGATTTCCTTGCCTGAAGGACATTAGTGAGACCCGCCAA